TAGCCCTCGTGTAGCTTTGCGCGAAATCCCAAACAAACAAACAAACTGTCTGAAATATACTTACTGGTAGTACAAATATTCCGTTGATTAATTTTGTTCACTATTTCGAAGAATCAATACGCAATAATGTATTCAAATTCTCAATACTTATCTTATATGCATGGACTATGAATCCAATGATTTATTGTTCGTGTCCCGTTGCTGCAAAAATTGCGTTCCGCACTTTGGAATCATGGGTGTTTTAAAAGTGATGGTCCAACCCCACTATTCATTCAGACAAAATATTCAAATGACCTAGAAGTCCCGTATATTCTGCTGTACATAAAAGCCTATAAATTGCTTAAACTCCTTTGTACTATAAGGCCTAATATATGTGTTTGATTCGCTCTCCCTAGCAGTTCTGATGGGCCGTGAATTTGACAAAACTAGTCTACTGCAGAATCAGTAGCGAATCAAAGAAGAGATTGGACCTCTACGTCATTTACGAATCCTTTCATTTCTACAGTAAAATTGCAAGTTTTGGTGAGCAAAAGAAAACTTCACTATTAAAAATAATTCTTATGCGCATCAGGCAATTTGTTAACTAGCCTACACCACTGACGAACATATTTTATACTCTTGTTCTCAGACCGTAAATCAAACTGGTTTTGGCATGGAGTAGCAAACGGTTAGTTGCATTTTTACCCCTAGCGTCGTCGAAGAGCAACAATGTTTAGGACAAGATGTAGTACGTTAGGAATTTTATGTTTCCCATATGACCATGAGTACAATTTGGACTATCTGTAGGTGCAGGAGTAGTTATATAAAACGAAAAGGTTAAAATCACTGTTAAGGGAAATGAGATCTGTGGTCAACCATGTGACTTGGTACTTTCGTTATTTGTGTAAGAAGTTCCAGTAAGCTATTGATTTTAATAAATTAATTTATACTTACAAAACACCAACTTAGAAAACCTTTAATTCCGATACCTAGCGGATATAGAACAGTTGAAATAAGGATGATTGTAGAGTAACTTATTACTTTAAGTTAGTTCATGGTATTTTTACGTATGAAATAGTGAAATAAATATTTTGTAAATATTAAATAACTTGTATTTTACTTTTTATTCTACTGATGACATCGCAGTATACGTCCTTACAAGATTGGTTAACGTAGTCATTGTAGTTTACTGACAACATCGTAATGCCGGTCCTTATGGGATAAGTAGTGGATACTTTATTATAGAAATCGGCCTACCGAAGGCTCGGTGGTACGTCTAAGGGCTTATCAAGCTAACAACCGAGTTTCGTTATCCACGATAAGCACAGAACAGATAGCCCATTGTGTAGATTTGCGCTTAATAACAAAAAAAAGTAAAATATTGATGACATCGTGATATCATCCTTACAATATTAAGTAGTAGCTCTTGTGTTTTACTGATAACATTGTAATTTCCATCCTAACAGTATTAAGTAATGTGGATTTTTTATTTTACAGATGAAATGAAACGACGTAGAGACTTTTATTCCGCTCACCCCAAAGAAGGTACATGTTTCAATGTCTATCTTTATAAAATAGGTTACTTCGTGTATTGATTTTTGGGCCGGGCGAGGCCGAGTGCTCGGACTGTCAATCCAAAGGTTTGTGGTTCACGCCCCGTTGTCGCAAAATTTGTTCAGCATTTTGGGGACGTGGGTGGGTTAAAAGAGTGGCGGTCAAATCCTATTTTATTCGATCACACAAGAGTAGCCCAAGAGGCTGAGCTGCTTTCCCCCTAGTCTGCCAGTTCAAAATCATGGACGGCCATGCGCACATGGGATTGCGCGAAAATTCTAAAAAATACAACACTTTCAGCATATAATATCGAACATAATATCTCAAGTGTTTTCTTTTTGTAAGTGAGGTGAATAAAACTGACGATAGTTGCTGTCTGTGTTCGGTCTAAAATGTCGCAGCTGTGATTGTTAGTTTTTATCATTCAAGTCTTTTGAGCTTCGTTAAGAACATCGTTCCAGTTTCCAAACTATCGTTATCGGGTCAAAATCATTCAAAATAATTCCACTAATTTATTGTTTTGATAATTTGAGATTACAATATCACACACGTCAAAAACACGTAATTTTGCACCATTAAATCTTCTGTTATTGTCTATAGGAAACAGAATTTTGAGTACTGTGTTTGAACAGATAAAAACAAAATTGGGAACCTTGTTTAAATTCACAGAAGCACTAATTTTTTGACAATTTTATTTACCTAAATTTATTCTATTGTACCCAGTACAACCATAGAAAGGGAAACGTCACGACATTAACCGATAAATATTTCAGATTCATTAATGTTATCTCCTGTTATTATTTGTTTGGAGAAAAAGTCTATAACGTTATTGTAAAAAAGAAACTCTATTTCATTAAATCATTTTACACGAAAATAATAGGTGGTGCTGAGATCACTTTATTCTTTATTTGTAACGCGCCCATAGAGGTGTATGGAGTAAAAACTAAAAAGGCCTACACACACACACACACACAGGAAATGAAACGAGAGAACATCTATGTGTGTTTTACCATCTATCAGGTTTTTCATAGTTTCACCATTCAGCAGTTTATACGAAATTTTGTTATAAAATTTGATCGCCAACCTGTTCAACGTCTTTGTGTTTACTTGGGCCTCAGAACATAGCCTGAAAGTTTTATCGTCATCTGGCTTAACTAACAATGCAAGCCATCTGTTCAACATACAGGTGTCCTTGGACAACAATGAACTAGCAACCAGTTTGTCATCATTTTGTGAAGTGTTAAGAAAGAAAAAAAAAACAAAACAGAATTGATACAACTAACAATATAGTGGATTTACATAAACAATGTATTTAAAATTCATACAACATTTTAAGGGTTACGTAAGGTAAGTACTTAGAGTAAGTTACTTCGGAATAATTCTCACAGAACAGACCATGAACCCGTTATCCCTAATGACCAGTAGGAAAAAAATAGATACCTGTATAATGTTCATATTGTGTTCAGCTGGCACAGCTACGTGCACAGAAAAAAATAACAATATACGTCTCTGACGAATTGCGTTTTTAAAATCGTTTTAAATGGTTGGCTTACGGAAGATTTGGCAAAGAATGTTGTGCACTTAATTAAAATTAGAACTAATTAGATAAAACCAGAGATACTTGTGTGAAATTGTAGGCGTGAAAGTGAAGTTATTACTATTGGCATAAAACTAAGGTTACGTTTGCTAATATATCAATCGCTACTGCTTAGTATGTTGGGATGGACCGAGAAAAAAATGGCCGTAGCATATTATGTATTGCTGCTCATAGTCTCAAATCTCCCTTATAACAACCTAATAGACTTTTATAAACACATAACTCAGGTTTTCGATATTTTTCAAAAGCTATTAAGACCTTCAGTTTAGCCAAAAAACATCATTAGAGTAGAGAACCGGCGAGTATCGTAACAGCCAAATGTTTGGCTGATTATTCTGATTCTGACGTCAGAAGGGCTAGTTTACCAATGCTTGAAGTTGTTGCGATGATTTACACACAAAAAAATGTTGCATTTTAACTTTGGAAGTGTAGAAGTATATGTTGTCCATCAAGATAATTCATCACACCAGGCTAAAACTGCTGCCTTCATAGCGACTGCCGTTCATTAATATTGATTGTTTGGAAAAAGAGGTGAAAGAAAAAATAAGGATGATGTAGGGATGGCAACGCCAAAATGTACAGAAACAGGACAGGGATGAATATACAAAACCATACAAAATTCCCTACATAAGTGCCACTGAGTCAATGTTGCAAGCTAATGGGAATTAACCATTATAAAACTTTGACATTATTCAGTTTAAATACTTAAATTTAAACCTGAATTCATGCAAATGAAAGGAATTCAACACTTAGCTGTAGATAAAAGTTTTTCTTTGAAAAATTAGGCTACTTATGTAGGGAATTTTATATGGCTTTGTGTATTCATTCCTACCTTGTTTCTGTAATACATCATCCTTTTTTTAAAAAAATTATAACTTGTTATATATTCAAATCATCACCTTTCAGGTTTAAAAATCATTGGAAAAAAGTGGATTTAAATTATTGTTTTTTTTTTAAACAAAAGATAGTAGTTTCAAATATGTTTTTCCAATCATTTGTAACGTTCTGCTACAGACTTTAATCAAAAGTGTTCGATTTATTAACGCTTCCTATTTTGTAGCTGCCCACGTGACGTGTCAGGAGGATCGTGGAAACTTGACGGAACAGAGGGTGATTTATACTCCTTATGACATTATCAGCTTGTCTCTAGAGTATGGTTATGGGTAAGTTTGAAAGTAGGTTTACGATGAAATTTGGTTCTTTAACTTTATGTTTTTACACTTGTGTGTAGCAGCTAATGTTGACGTAATGTGTGTGTGTGGGTGGGGGGGGGTATTTATGTAGAAACTGAACCCCCACCCCCCTGCAAATCAAATTCAAAATATTTAAAATGATAATCAAACACATACTTGCATATCCAGTGACAAAATTTAAACAATTCAATTTTGAAAGATGCACACGTGTAGGAAATATTAGTCTTTCTGAAGTAAGTTACACGATTTTTTCCCTTTCTTCAACGTTGCTGAATTTATCTGAAGTAAGTTACATGATTTTCCCTTTCTTCAACGTTGCTGGCTTTATGTGAAGTAAGTTACACGATTTTTTCCCTTTCTTCAACGTTGCTGAATTTATCTGAAGTAAGTTACACGATTTTCCCTTTCTTCAACGTTGCTAAATTTAGTCGATTATGGCCATTTAGTATTTGCATTGTAGCTTATAATTTGTATTTAGGACTAACTTAAATCTCCTAACCTGGCCGAACCTTGTGGAATGTTATTCGATTTACGGTCGAGAATGTAATTGACAGCGAGGTTAATCAATTGACAAACAATACATTGTAATCTTTATATGTAGATACATAAGATTGTGTTTTCGGATTTCGCGCAAAGCTACTCGAAGGCTATCTGCACCAGCTGTTCCTAATTTAGCAGTGATAGACTAGAGAGAAGGTAGCTATTCAACACCACTCGCCGCCAACTCTTGACCTACTCTTTTACTAACGAATGGTGGGATTGACCGTAACATTATAACGCCCCATGGCTGAAGGGGAGAACATATTCGGTGACGGGAATTCGAATCCGCGACTCGTAGCTTGCGAGTCGAGCGATCTAACGACCAAGTCATGCCAGTCCATTACTTGTGAAAGCTATATTTAATTAGCTATACTGATGGTTAGGTTGATTTTTAGAGTTTAGTTCGAAATACATAACTTATTCTGATTGGAAATAATTATTATTATTAGCGTGTATTATCGTATATTATACATAATTTACACAATGAAACTAATAACATTGCCCCCCCCCCCAGTGGCACAGTGGTATATATGCGGACATACAACACTAGAAACCGGGTTTAGATACCCGTGGTGGGCAGATCACAGATAGTACATTATGTAGCTTTGTGCTTAACTTCAAACAACAACTAATAACATTTTATGTTAAAAGGGGTGGTGAAAAACGCTTCGTTAAAATCTTGTGAAAAGTTGGTGAGTTTTTACTTCAAATTTAAACCTAACTTTAGGAATGTCTGGAACAATGATGGATTATACCTTAAATTCTCTAATTCCTAAGTTCGTACTGATTGATAACTGTTCATATTCTACCGAAGTAGTAAAAACTATTTTTATTTTATATTTGTATGTTAATGCTCGCCTGTTATCGTCCTTATACTAATATAAGTACTGTATATAGTGCCTGTTCTTTGAGAATTCCAGTACTGAAATGTGCTTGGTGATTTTTCAGGAATAACCAGCTACCAAGCAGCGTATATTCTGAAGATGAAGCGGTAAGACTGAGACTTCACGTAACCTATCTTTTCGTTTTTTTTTCAATAATTTGGAATTATTTTAAGAGAAAAAGTTTACAGTGGTAATATTTATAAGTATGTGCATTGTAATGTCCAAGCTCTCGGTTTTAAAATAAATGAAATGTGCTATCCTACGCGGACCACCATTTTCCTGGACCCACAACTTTCCGAAATTACACTATTCAACACACTGTTGTTCTACCACATTCCAGCACTGGATTGTACCACCCCGTGTTCAACACTTGGACATAGACTACCGTTGTTCTACCACATTCCAGCACTGGATTGTACCACCCCGGTGTTCAACACTTGGACATAGACTACTGTTGTTCTACCACATTCCAACACTGT